CGTACACCTTACCATCCGTGTTGACAAGTTTTATCATCTTCATTGAACTTAACAGCATGTACAAGTTATTTTAGTTAAAATTTTTTATTTAAATCAAATTAAATATTATGTTTTTAATTAAAAATTTATTCAAATATAAAATTAAGTATTTAATCAATTTTTAAATAGGTGGCATTTTTAATTTTCGAACTCAATTGTAAAAAATGCTACAATAATTTTTTTAAAGATAATTAGTGGAAGTTATAGAAAATTTTAACCCATTTGCCATGCCCGATAGCCGGACAAAGGAATGGAATAATTACTTTCTATTTTGACCAAAGAATAAAACCTTAGCCTTCTTTGGCACGCTTTTCATATGTGGTAAATTATTTTTTTTATTTTATTAAAATTACATAAAAATAAAATAGATAATTTATTAATTATGAAAGATAAAGCCAGAGAAAATAGAATCAAGATAAAAAAATACGAATAATAATAATAATAATAATACCAACAATCACAATAATTATAAATATAATAACTAGAAAATTTATTATAAAAAATTATTTTTCTTTCAATTAATATTAAAAAAATTCTTGATAATATTTAATTTTGTTCAATAAATATTAAACAAATGTTATTTTTTATTATAAAATTATTATTGTATCGTATCTCATATTCATATTTTATTCTAAAAGAATTTTATAAAAAACTATAGAAAAGAAAAGGATTTTTATTAAATAAATGACCGACTTTTGTTGCTACCAATCCTTTTAAATTTGATTAGTAGTAAGAATAATAAATGCAAACAAGTGTTTTTGAGCAATCGTAAAAATTTTTTTACAACGTCTTTTTATGTATTTTAAATTTAAAAGCAGACAAATTGTTTTATTTTTTAAGTTAAGACAACGTATATTACATCTTAAATTGAACTTAATATTTTTCACAATAAACAAGATTACCAAAACCTTATCTATTTCCTATGATTTTTTTTTCTTTTAATTGGTAAAACAAATAATACTTGAATTAATTTTTTTTGGGTAAAACAAGTTTTAATATTTACAAAATAAAAAATATTGAAAAGTTAAAGGGATAGGGTAAAATTTAAAGGTCGTAAAATAATTCATATTCAACGAATTTTAATTTATTTTTAACTTTTAATATTTTTAAAAAAAAATTTAGAGATTGGATTTTTTATTATTTATTTAATTATATATATTATATTAATAAAATTATTATTTAATATTTTAATTAAAAATATTAATTTAATAAAATATTATATTTATGTATAATTAAAATATAATTTATATCAAAAATTAATATTTTATAAATATTATATTTAATTAAAATTATTAAATTAATTTTAAATTTAATTATTTATGATTTATAAATATATAAATTTAATATAAAAATAATATTTTAATATGATTTGAATATAAATATTAACAAAATGAGATGGAGCGATTCCGCGGTTCCAATCAATCTATTTTCATGGTGGAAATGAGACGCCACGTGAATGGCATGCTTTTCAGACGTGTTTTAAAAAAATGGGCCCCACAGTCATAAAATTTCTCTTGTCGGGGACAGATCCGCCTCGTGAAGTCCACAAGCGCATATGTATGGTAATGATGAAATTTTAATTTCACCATGGATTATTGATATTTTGGTCCTTGTATTTTACTCATTTTCTTCAATTTCCTCTTTTATAAAGTTTGAATTTCATTTCGGGTGTTTCACAAATATATAACTAAACCCTTTCAATAACTATTCATAAATTATACAAATAATATGCCGAATTTTTTTTTTTTTTGGTTATATTTGGGTTTGACCGTTTGAGAGATATGCATCCATCATTCATGCAATTGGGTTTTTTATGGTCCTTCCTTTTTTTTTTCCCCTCAAAATGCACATAATTTTTGAATTTTATAACATGGTTCAATAAATTCAATAAAAACTTATTTGATAGTCTGTTCGTCTGGCCGAGGTCGATTGACCCTTTAAAAGGTTTGCCTGGCCTATCGCGTCAGGTTTAATGGTCCAAAATTTTTTTTTTTAAAAATAAAATATATTTAAATTTTAATAAATTTTAAATGTATTTTAAAATTAAAATTAAATGAAAAATAAAATTTTCAGTTGACTGAATTGAACACAGATTTATGTTCAAGATCCGATTCATGGGCTAGTATATTAATTTCTGTGATTGGAGTTAAAAGAAAAGGGTTGTTAAAGTAGAAGTTTTTGAAAAATTATTATTTTACTTAAGTAAACTAATTAAGATCTAGTATATTGTACTTTTTAAAAACGTTTGATAATGAGAGTAATTGTCTCATTAAGGGAATCAAACGATTTTTTATGAGATCATTTTACAAGTAAAATCGTAGTTATATTCTATAAATTCTTTATCTATAAAAAAAAATAATAAACAAATGCAACATTCAATAAAATTAATATAAAATTAGATAAAATTATACATAATGAAATTCGAATATTGAATTGAAATATATGGCTTTTCTTACCATCATACGACAATATGATTTGTAAAGATAATTTGTGACACTTTTTGGCTATTGTTGGTCCAAGTATATACAAATTTTACCAATAATTTTTGGCCAAATGATGGAACCCACATTTTTTGTGTTTGGCTACTTTAACGCCGGTCACATTCTTTTGAATATGAATAATTTGTTGCAATTTATAAATGCTTAAGGGAAAATTTTTCATTAGGTATCACTTTCACGTGATAAACCTTACAATACTTTATTCTCAAATATATTGCGTATATAACCTTTCTTGTCATGTTCATTACAAATCTGACCAATCCGATTAAGATTTACACTAATAAAATTTATTACGTGGGAATGTAACAAATCCACGTTACCATTTGGAGGATTGGCGTGAGGCGCATGCTAGCCTAAAATGCACACAAGTATATTAGACTTGATTACTAGGGTCAGGTCAGATCAAATTTAGCTTAGATTTGTTTATGGGTTAGGGTAATTTATTGTCCAACTCCAACCAAACATTAGATAAGAATTTTTTAAGCTTAAGCTTGACTCAATTTGAATATTAAATTGTTAACAAAAAATTTTAATATATCCTATAAATGACACCAATTGCCAAATTTATCATGAGCCAACAAAACGAAACAGGATCACAAAATGTGGTTATTGGGACGCTATTGGTGCAGAGATGAAGATCGATTTATCATGTGGGTGAAATTGTTGGGTACCGGAACACTTTTTTTTTTTTTACTCGTGACAGGTACCAAAAGGAAAGAAAAGCTCCTGGCCCTGGGCTATTCAAGAATTCAGAGTTAAAACTAGTTTGGTTCCTGGTTATGAATCCTTTTTTTTTTGGTATTCAACCGAATGATCTGAAGTTGCACATTGTTATAAATTTTGTTTTACGTTACTTTGTTTACTTACAGTTCCTGGGAAACCAAACAGGTGGTAATTTCTATTCATAAGATGCATTCTTGTGGCATTTTTGTTTCTCTGTTTATATTTTCTGATGTCAGATACCTATTCATATTTTGATCTTTATGTATGAGCATGGAATCATCTCTTTGGTTGCCAAAATTGGGACAAGTACAGCAGGTGAATAAATTAAGAACGAGTAATTGTGTTTTCTGGTGTTCTAATTTAAGCCATTCAGAAGATGTAAGGGTCAAATAACTGTGTCACATCAATTGTAAAGGATGAAGAGGGAAAAGGATCTGTCAAATATCATCTATTTCAAGGTAATTGGATTTCTTTCTAATGTTTTAGGTTCTCTAAGACCTATTGACTCTGGTTGAAAGGGAAGATTAATAAATGTCAAATCACTAATTTAATTTTATATGCTGAACTGCTATTGATATCTAGAAAGTATATAGATTGAGTAATCTGCTCTTATAGAAGTTTTCTTCACACTTAATCTCTTGCACTTCGATAAGATTGGATGGTGGGATTAGGCTACTAGTTCTGTTTAAATGCAAGAAAAAGATGCATCGGGCCTCGCGGACGTCAACATAAGCTTAATCCTGGCAGCAAGGTCCAATATTTTAACTTGCATCTGGTGATTTCTAAACTTGCGAAGATATAATGGAGGAAAGCATTTTGATCCCCTTCGTATCCACTAGGGACTAAATGTTTCTTTCTTGATGCTGTGGATGATGCATTTTACATCTGAGACTTGTTTTAGATTAGGGAGAATGCAAATCAAGCATTTTTTAAGCGTGTTTCATTATGAGCTTAAAACATGAACACAGAAAAGTAGAGCCTTCTAATATTTATTTTGGACATACGTTGCATCTCCTCTTTGACAATATTTTGTCTACCTTCATTTATCTGTTAGTCACTTGGCTTTACTTAACGCTTATTGACTTATATTACTTCCTCTTGTGACTATACCTCTTGTGACTATAATGATTCATTTCATATTTGTTAAATTTGCATGGTTTCTGTAGCCTGCAAGATTTATGGTTTACCCCTGTAGGTTAGTTGGAAATTCTACTAGACATCCCAGAAATGCAATTTTTAAAGCTGTTGATTTTGTTTGTTATAGGAAGATCATTTCAAACATGAGTGAATGTATGTTATATCCCAACTGTTGCAGATCACTTGGTTAAACACAATGACCATTAACAAGTTCAATGGGAGGTTAGTTTCATCGGGACAGCCCAACTATCATCAACAAGGTAAGATAACCACATTATAATAATTTCTCCAACAATAGCTCCTCATTATCATAATTTCTCCAACAATAGCTAGTATTTACTTTACATAAGCATCTCCATAAATTGAAATCGCTGTTTGCAAACTTCGAATTCTTCTCTTGGTGTTTTAGTGATATGATCAAATTGCAGAACAAGTTATTTGCTTTTGTGTTGTATAGTCAGCAATATATGCCTCAAATTTTCTATCATTGCTGCAAACTTTATTTGTATGATAACATCTTTGAAAATAGACTACTTTCATCATTTTTTTATGCCAATTTGGTGCCAACTGCCAATGAATATGAATTTACCATAAAATTATAACTTAAATTTAATAAAAAATGTATTGTTTAAATAAATTTTTTGGGCTTCATACAAGATACATCTTTTGCTTATGGCCAGTTTCTGACCTTATCCTGAAGCATCTATTATCCATTTATGCGTACAGTTTATTTTATCAACTTTTTTCTACAAGAAATTACCAAGCTTACAATGGCTGAAGAACATAAGAAAGAATTATGTTTTAGAGTTCAGCAAATTCAACTGTTTTCTTCCCATCATGCGCCTTGCGGAAGAAATGTTTAACATAATCTGAATAAAGAACTTGCTTGTAAATTGGCTTCTCACCGCTTGCGACCAATTCAGGCAATGGTCCTATCATATCACCTGGTCTAGGATTGACAAAAATGGGGACAGAAATTCTGTTCTTTCTTCCATTGGCGACCACACGATGTTCAACACTCCTGTACCTGCCATTGCTCATTATTTGCAATGCATCTCCAACATTGATCACAAGGGAACCTTTGATTGGAGGAACATGGATCCAGTTATCACCCTGGTTTCCTCTTACATAAAGTCCCCCAATCTCATCTTGAAGGAGAATTGTGAGAGTCGAGACATCAGAGTGACGCCCTACTCCAACGGTGAGTTCAGGGCTTGGACAGATGGGATAGTAGTTAAGGTTAGTCCTCATTGAACCCATCAACAACGATTCTTTTGTTTCATCAATCTCATTCACATGCAGACCTTTCATTAACACCTGCAATAGCTGTTTGATGACAACTTCAGACTTTTTCATGTAATCTAGCACTTGCTCCCTGTAAGAAAAAACAAAAAGGTCAATTAATATATTTGTTAGCAAATTGTGTGCATGTCAGGATATTGTTTTATGCAGGCAAGAAAATCTAACAAGTAATTAATTGGAATCTTTGTTTATACCTGCAGACAGAAGGCCACAATGCAGAAGCCTCTTCTTCAGAGACGTAAAACAGGCTAAGGTAATCTTTCCACTCGAGAGCCTTCTCTGCTTGAGGGCTAAAACTTGTGCCAAATCTTACATTGTTTGAAGAGGAATGTTCCTTGGAATACTTATTTTTTACCTCAGCAGGTAACCCAAAGAACCTATAAGTAGCATCTTTAACCTTCTCCAGCACTTCGACAGGCACATCATGGTTAACAATCTGGAAGAAACCCCATTTTGATGCAGCATCACAAATTGATTTCGCCACTTTGGGGTCTTCCCACTTTGACATATCAATGATGGGAATGAATTCTTGGACTATGATGTTGGTCATACACATCCTTTCTTCCACAGGTTGGATATATCGCTTAGGGAGGGCTCTGAGTCCCATTTCAGACAAACCTTTAACTCCATTCCCTTGATTGATAACGAAATCAGTAAGAGCTGAGGAATCACTGAATGGATCGGCAAGTGTAGGAGCCATTGGTTTGAGTAATTTGAGTTAAAAGTGTTTGGTTTTCGAAGTGGATAGAGCTTTGAAGAATGTTGCAATTACCGGTGCAGATTGGTTTCAATGCAGTGCTATTTATATACTACCAATTTGTAGCACACCACCAATGACATTTTGGTTTCTTACAAGGAAAATATATGTTTACCCCCACCAACCCAATATAGTGGAGAGGACTTTAAAGTTTGACAAGAGTCAAAGGATTACTTTGACGGTTCTCCTATTTGGTAGCTGAAAGAACATGTGTATAATATGTTGGTTTGGGTGAGTAGGTCTGTCAATTGTCGAATAATCCTCTTGACACTTCCATGTCCTTTTGAGCTTCATTGCTGCATTACCTGAATGAGTCTAAAATGGTAGGCCGAGTTCCATGGTTCCGGATTTCCTTTGAGCCAACGAGCCCATTGACAGTGCAAAGCAGGTTCCTATTGCTTTCGTCTCTCGATTTAATTTAATTTTATTTGTCGTGCTAATTCTTAAAATGGTAATTAAGAAATATGAATTCAAGTTGTAATTTATTAGGCTGTTTTTTTATCTTTTTATTTTTTTTCACAAAAATTTTCAACTAATATATATATTTTGATATATTATTAAATGAATATAAATAAAAAATATGTATTCACATGCATCTATGTAATGACAAAAACTATTTTTTTAAACAATAGAGTAGCGATCTTATAATTATATATTTTCAATTGGTGAACTTAAAAAAAAAAAAAAAGAAAAAAACTAAGGGAAAGAATTAAACAAATCTAAATTAAAGTAAGGGTACTTGCCCAACTTCCAAAGCTTACCCAGGAGAGCTTGAATAAAAATTTAAGTCTGTTAAACAAGCATGGGAAAAAAATTGAGGTTCCGTCGGTCTTGCAATTATATAATATGATATTATTTTTTGTTTATATTAAATTTATATCATATAAAGGATAATATATAATATTTTAGTGGAAACATTTTAAAATAAAAATATGTTAAGTTATTCATAGTTTAAAATTTAATAAAAGTAAAAGACAAAAATACTAAAGACAAAATAAAAAATTTATATTTATATTTTTTATGATATAAAAAATTAATCTGAGCATGTCTAATAAAATTTGAAGTCTAAATTGTCATATCATGTTGAGCTTAAACAAAAATACTAGGTGTTAATACCATGCTTTTAAGTTAGGTGAAAATATTAAGTGTTAATATCATGCTTAAAGCTAATTTGAACCTGACTTAATTTGACTTATGTATTTTTATAAAGAATATAAAATTAATACAATATCATGACTAAATGAACCTATCTTAATCCAATTCATGTATCTCTATAAAAAAATATAAAATTAATACAATTAAATAATATTTTTTAAAATAAAATTGACTTAATTCATTAATCAACTAAAAATTTCTTAGTATTTTTAAAATTTTTTATTGAAAATATTCCATGAAATAGTTTTAAAAAATGATTTATCAAAGCATGAAAAAAAATAAAACCATCTAAATTTTAATTTTTAATTATTTCAAAATTTTCAATATTTTATCAAATCTATAACTATATAATGAAAATAATCCACCAAGGAAATGACAAATTTGTTCTTCTAATTTTTTGCTAATTGCTTGCAACTTGTTCGAAAAGATGACAATGGCCTTCTCATGTAAATGACGAAATACCCTTATTTTAAATGATAAATTACTATAAAGTTCTTTCATTCTTAAATGATAAAAATACCTCTCTTATAAATGTCAAATTATTATAATGTCTCTTTTGTCTTAAATAACGAAAATACCCTTCTCAAAAATGATAAATTACTATAATTAATATCTTTATATCATAATTATAAAAATATCCATATACCATAATGTACTAAAATTATTATAATGATCCTCCTATTATAATTATAAAAATGTCCCTACTGTCATGATTAACCAAAATTATTATAATTCTCTTATATCATAATTATAAAAATGTCCTCCTACCAAAATTAGTCAAAATAATTATAACATCTTTTAACATAATTACGAAAATATCTTCATAATTACTTCATAGGAAGTTGACATGCATCATTTTATTTGAAAATTATTGTAATATCTCTTTTAATTTATGTATTAAATTTTAATATAATAATAAAAAATAATTACATATTAAATTATTAAAATACCTTTATCATCGTTTCATAAAAATTTGACGTGTGGCATTTTATCAAAAAATTGTAATAATATTCTTATTAAATTACATATATTAAATTTTAATTTAATATAAAATTAACTACATATTAAATTATAAATCTTATTGAAATTATCAGCATGCACATATGGTTTTTTTATTAAGAGTTGAAATATGTCCTAGATTATAATATCTCTTTTATCATAATTATATAAATGTTTATCTTATTATAAATTAGTTAAAATTATAATAATATCCCTCTTATCAAAATTTGATAAAATTACTATAATGCTCTTATTATCATAATTATAAAAATATCCCTATTATCATAAGATGTTAAAATTATTATAATACATTTTCTATCATAATTACAAAATATTCTTCTTATCATAATTGATTAAAATTATTATAATATCTTGTATCATAATTACAGAAACACTTTTATGATTATTTGATAAGAAATTAAAATGTAACATTTTTTTTATAATTTTTATAATACTCTTATTGGGTTACGTATTTAAAATAATTATAAATATATTTAAAATAATTAAGATTAATAAATAATAATAAATTTAGACAGATTTTTCATCTCTTTGTCTAATGATTAAAAAGCTTTAAAAAAAAATGTGAATGGAAATTCTAATCCCGTCATTTTTCCTTTCCCTTATACAAGTGTTTGTCCTCTTATGAACCAAAAAAAAAAAAAATTTGGACAGAAAAATGATTAATCCCGCGGGTAATTATTTCTAACGCATCATGATACCAATAATCATATGAAGAGGTACCCTAGATTAACAATTACAAACATGCCACATGTTTTAAAAATGTTGCGCCGCCATATCACGTGTTATAATTTGATTAGATATTTTTGGATATAATACCTATTTGATTAATAATATTAATCTTTGTGTGCAAATAAATTGAAGAAAATTAAGAATTTGGCACAATTCTATTGCCAACGTAATAACTTATATATATTTTTATTTTTTACATTAAAAAAAAAAACATCAAGTTTATAAAGTATAAAATTTCAAAATAAAATGTACAAAAATCATTGCTGCATTTTTTTATTTATAAAATTCTTTCAAAATGAAATATAAACAAAGTGGTAGGAATGCATATATGCAATATGGTGGAAATATGAATTAAACAAATATTCAAATAATCCAACGGTACCTACGACGGCCAAACTCAACTTTTCGAAAATTGGAAGATAGAATGTATTTATTTGATGTATTATTAGTATATAAATTTTATATATTATAGTAAATTAAATGATGTCATTTTATTAATGAAGTAAATTAGATAATATCACTTCGTTAATGAGTAAGTTTTTTTTAAAAATATTAACTTTATATATATTTTAAAAGTTGATATTTGTTTATTAATGATATGATATTATCTGATTCAATGACAGTTAGAGATGGTAAAAATAATTCATATTTAACGAGTTTCGATGCATCTTGATCCAATAGGGTTTGTTTTTTTTTTTAGGTGGCACTGTCCCATCTAACTCAGTATTAATAAAATATATTTTTATTATTTATTTAATTTTATATTTAGATATGTATTATATTAATAAAATTATTATTTAATACTTTAATTTAAGATATTAACTTAATAAAAATATTATATTTATGTATATATAAAATATAATTTATATTTGAAATAATATTTTATGAATATTATACTAAATTAAAATTATTAAATTAATTTTATATAAGTTTGATTGCAGTTTATGAATATGGAAGTTAGATTAAGTATGAAAAAAATATTTTAATATTGAATAGGGTTCGAGTATATATATATATATATATATATATTTATATATATATATATAGGGGTAGGTCGAACTTGCGTTAATCGAAAGTCTGCCTTGACCTGACGTTTTGTCATCCTTAATGTGAGTGTATAAAATTTATATACTAATAATACATCAAATATAAACTCATATAGAATACCTTATAGCGTAATATATTAAACATGCATTCGTCTATCTACGCTAATTGTACAAGGACAAAGATTTTGTCTTTTTTCATAATATATATTGTGGAGATCTGCACTTAATCTGCAAGATATTAACCATTTTGACCTAAAGATCTCACGGTTTTATCTCACAAAAAATATATCATAAATTTAGGTTTAAATCTCTATATTTATATTCTATCACATCTACATATTCTTCCAATATAGGATTGGAGACATCACATTCATCTCACTTTTAAAGCTTGATGTCTTTGTTAAGTCGATCCAACTATAGGACAAAGATCACATTAGACATCGAGATTCTAGAGTAGCTCCTCATTGTATAAGATTTGGTGACTCCCACGATGCTACTGTGTAACACTTAGTAACTTTAATGATGTAACACTTAATTCCCATCGATTGGTGACCGTTTTGATGTCATTTATGGAGATCCGTACTCAACCTATGAAGTATTATCTATTTTGATCTGAAGGTCTCACGATTTTATCTCACAAAAAGTACCACAGATTTAAATTTATATATATATATATATATATCATATCATATTTACACAATCTTTCAATGTAGGATTGAGGATGTCATACATATTGGGTATATATATATATTTTTAAATTTTCGTTGTAGACATAAAAAATTTCATGATGCTTTGATTACAGCAATTGGATCAATTTATAATTTAAATAACTAGTTTGTAATATATGCAATGCACGAATTAATTTTATTTATTTATTTAATATCATTTAATTTATATGTGTATGATATATATAATATACATCATATTTTGAGTTGATTTGTTAAAATTGATATGTATTTTAATTAAAAAAAAAACTATTAGCAATAAAAAGATAGTAATATAATAGTAATAGAAAAAAAAAACTATATATTCTTTCTTTTATTTTCATTGTCCAATTTTTATTTAATATAAAATAACAAAGACATGATAA